TGCCTTCTCCAGTGAACGTTTCAACTATCCCGTTCGTTCGCGTTTCAACCAAGACTAAAGCGTTCCAGTCGCGACGTTTAATCCAAGCTGCAATAGTGTGCCGAATTCGCGGGATTTTAATCGATACGCGATAGAAATATTTGATTCAATTTTTATCGATTCAATAAGCAAAATAAAAAATCTAAATTTAAAAAAAAATTAAATATGAAACGGAAAGTCAAAAACGCCTAGTAATCACCACTTTCGTAATTAATAATATCTGTAAATGTGTAATTACGTATCTATTATCTGTTTCGAATTAAAGACGAGATCGTGAAAAGAACACTTGACTCATCCTGATCGAAAGTATTGATCGAGTTTCGAATGACGAGAGATCGCTTACACTGTTACGAGATAGTCACGATCTCCGGCTGATTAATTTCGTCGACGTTACACGCACCCCAATCGACGCACCCCATATAAAATACGAAGACGATGACTCACTATCCCGATCGCGCCAATTTCCGGCTGGCTCCGCTCGCCGAAAGGGAAGTCACATCTGCGGTTGCACAGCGAACGGTATTGCTATACAGTCGCAAAATAATATCCGGAACGAATTTATTTGGATCATTGTCACGGAGAGAATTAATTAGTTTAATAACAAAATTCGTTATAAAATAAAACGTAATTGAATAGAATATATAATATATTAAATAAAAATTGTTAAATAAAAATAATCACGAATAAAAATACACCCAAAGCGTAAAATGTAGTTCATAATTTTGTCATTTAAATCATTTCATAATAATAATTAATTTTAAACAATTACATAAAATACTCAACTATAATTGACTATACGTGAGCAAGAAACTTGAAATAAAAGTATAATTTTTCGCAGATATAAATTTTTGCAATTCGATTTATCAAATATATATATATATATTTTATATGAATATAATATTATTTATATAAAAAATCGTATACCGAAAATTCTGGCCCAAATTCCCTGCTCGCTTCTTTTTTTATCGGCGACATCTTTTTTCTCTTTTTCACGGTCGAGAATACGATGTTCTTTGTTTTCGCGGTCTCGATTCCGTGCAATATATGCGAAAAAAGGAGAGTAGAAAGGAGACGAAAGGACAAACATGCGTAGGAGCGTAGGAAGACAATGGTTCTTCGAGACATCGCTTCTACTCAAGGCTCTGTTTTGCGACGCGAAGAAAACGCGAGGACGAGACACAGGATTCCTCTTCACAAACAGGATTTTTTACAATGATGAAATGAGAGGTCCGATATACCGTAACTCGTCGAATGCGAAAAAAAGAGAAAGAGAGAAACCACGTAAACGAGATGGTAATTTTATTCTGAGAAAATTACGCAAGTGTGCGATGACATATTATTGTATTATTGAGACGTATCACTTGTTTAATAATACCGATTGAAGTAGTGTATTTGCTAATTTTCTTTTTCTCGATTTTTTATTCCTTTATAAAAGATAAAAGAATAAAAAATCGAGAATAAAAAATCGATACATATATTATTTCTTACAAAGAAATAATATATCTATATAAGAATATAAATCGATATAAAAGCTAACATACTTGTGTCCCTATAAAAAAAATAAAGGTTCTAAAGAAACGTAGGCACATACATGGCATTTACATTATAATCATCGAACGGCATATTTTCTCGATGTTCATTGAGAAACGCGTTTATAAATACGTTGCACGCATCGATCGAGTGTCGCAACGAAGGGTCGAGGATGCGCGATAAAAATATCGTTTCTGACCGCGACAAAACCCTGTATAAAGGTTACATCCGAGGTGAGTTCATTGAAGGTCAAGAGTTAGCGAGCGATCGATCCTCGCGATGGACAAAGACAACGCGTCTCAATAATTAACGATATCGCGAGGACGCGGTTAATAATATTATACGCGGTTGAATTTTACCTTTGACCCAACCGCATAATATTTCTCGAAAGGTTATTCATTATTACGGGATCAACGAAGCCGGCTTTGCGAGAATCGATGAAAGCGATCGGCGTATCATTATGATTATGTCGCAATTCACTTCTTTTAAACGCCACGGCTTTAAAGAGAGAGAGAGAGAGACAGAGAGAGGAACTTCAAGAAAATAAAAATAATCTCGCGTGTGAAATAAATTTCCTTGTAAATAGTATATGGTACAATCGTTGCTTTTAAACACCTATCTCTCGCATTAGATTGATTACGATTATAATTAAAACATTGAACAAAAAACTAATTAATGCGTAATTAATATAAAACTATACAATTATATAGAGAAACTATTATAAAAAACTACAAAAAAATGACACATTAATTCTCACGATTATTATCTTCTAATTTAAGTAAACGTTTGATTAAAGCAGAAAAATATCGTTCTTTCATCGACGTTAGATTAACGTTGACGATGTAATTATCTCTGATTAACGCTAAATTATTGCCACTTAATTGCGTTAGGCATAAATCGAGTTAGCGTTGATTAGCGCTGATTAACGCTGATCTTTCAGCGAAAGACCGAACCATCCAGACGGAACCATTTTCGGCTCTCTCGTATCAAATCAAGGCACAGCGGGACAACAATAGGGGCCCGTCAAGATCGGTCGAGTATGTACTCTTTCAGGTCACAGGTCACGCGCGAATGAACTTAACGGCAACGGCTAGGAGCTTTACACCATCTTTTATTCTCTTTAAGCCCCAAGGAAAAAACAAAGCTATTTATAAAAGAGGGAAGAAATGATAAGATCGCGAATTTTAAAGATATTAAGAGCGCCAGAGAGAGAAAGAGAGAGAAAATGAGCAATTGTGTTTTAAAAATGAAAATCGATCCAATAATAAGTTAATTGTACGATTCGTACTCGAAGTACTTGATTTTAATATTAGAAATATTCGAATATTAAACTTTACATTATTTGCCGATCCGAGATACACAGAATATATAAGCATATCGAACTTGGATTCGCATTCAAACCTCGCGGAGAAAGGCCTCGCGTTAGGGTCGACTCCGTAGAAACGGATATTAGAAAACGACTCTATGCACCATGATCTTAAACCTCTCTATACGATCGACGTCACGCCGGCCTCGGAACGGCGTGATGTCTGACAAATCGCGTGCATCGATAACGCATATATCCCGCGACCTCGATTCGTTCGCCCAAGGATAGATATCCTGATGTGTCAAGACCTCGACTGACAATGGAGACAACCTCGCGGTTCTGAACGAGAGCGCTCCGGCTGTATTAATTAACGTCTACGCTTTCGCCTAAAATTTATGCCCACGCAAAAATCACACGAATTACTAAATCAAGGATTGAAATCATTAAAATTTTAATACGCTCACGAATAATCTCTTTAAAGTATTTATACATTTTTATCCATTTAATGCATCGACGATCTCGGTTTTGATAATTGAGAATAAAATTTTGCCATAAAAATAGCTTAATTAATACTTGCTTAATTAAAAATTCCTAATTTAAATTATGAGAGACAAAAACGTTGGTTTGGCAATATTATATGACTTTGAGACGTTCAAAATTTCATAAGTTGTATTTATATCATGAATTTTATTATAAAATTTAATTAAAGAATCTTAGACACTCTCTTAACAAATCATCAATATTCTCAAAAATACAAGATTATATTATGTCATTTACGAGAAGAATTTCAGCAAAAAATCAAGTTATTTTCCCCGGGTTGTATTTAATAGCGATATTTTCACACATATTGCGGGCTGTTCACCCTGCGTCACCGCCCACGCCATTTGCAACTCTCGTTGATTATAACGAACCCTTTCCCTCCTCCTCTCTCTCCCTAATAATTGCACTTACACTCACTGACTTCGATCGATAGAAAATTTCATCGGCCAGCAAGCAACACGCTAATTGGATCTCGCTCTTTAACATTCAATAGTCGAGTGGATTTTCACGGAATCTGTATTCACGGCGTTTTTTTTTTATTTCATTATACTACAATCAACGTTATAATTTTAGTAAAAGGCTTACAAGACTTAAGCAAAGAAAGTTATAGGATCTCTCAGTTCCACTTCCTCTCTCAGCACGACTATTTAATATCTATAATAAGTGTATATTTACGACAAATAAATGAAATTGGAAGGGCTTGTTCGTGTGAATCGAATTTTAAATAAGAGACTCTCTTTTAGATATTTCGATTCATCTATTAAATATCCATATCGCCTAATCACTTTTACTCACAGCCGTTATATGGGTAGAGCGTTCGGTAATAGATGCATTTGGTGCACGCAACGACATTCTTCGAAAAGTGTAATAGTTCCTCTTTAACAAAAAACCGTTGATGTAAAAGGCAATTCGATAATTTCGACGTCTAGTAATATATCTAGTAATACCTTATTGTTCAGTCAATTTTTCAAATGAAAAGAGAATCTTAACTCAAGCATATATTTCATGCCGAAATTCTAAAATCCGCGAAATACGCGAAATATGACGTTCAAAATCGGGTACTTTATTCCATAGCCAATTTCAAGCTAAAGTTTATTTTAACAGGATCCTAAAACTCGGTCCGGCATATTTAATGCCAAAATTTCCAAAGGCGCGAAAAAATATAGCATTATTACATTAATCGAGTGCAAGGAAATAATCATATTTCACTTTTCGGCAAGATACAGTCTATCACCGGACACCCCGTACATTTATTCGATTCGATTCGCCCTCCGCGCGCGATTTCACCCACCCATCCGCCGAATCGACGTAAATCGATCGACTTACCGGAAGAG